GAATATAGTTATCAGTTTCAAATCTATTTCATATATTATCATACTTAATTATATTGTTCGAAGCTTTCCTTGAATTTGATGTTTCCGCACTGACCATACGTACTTTTTTCAGCAAATCAGAAGCATGGATTCAGGCTCGCTAATTAATGATGTGTTTTAAAATATATATATTGGTGATTCCGAGAGCTTCCTCCAAGTAAAGGATTATTCCAGTTACTGACCTAGAAAAACATGATAGACTATCGTCTTATCTCAGTTAATTGACTTTAAGCCCAAATTACATATGGCCTAGTATCTATCACTTCATTTTGCTAATCCAGAAATTCTGAAAACTTAGATTGAAGCCAAAGTAGCAGTGAGGGAATAATAAGTAAGTTGGATAATAAAGCGTAATAAATTATTCCACTTTATTGATTCTTCCAATCATATACAAGTACTCTGGCTGACTGGATTAGCTTAGCCAGTACTGGCACTAGACCAATCGGGCCCGCGCCTGGGCCCTTGCCCTGGCCTCAGTTAACTGAGATAAGACACATGTGTTGCCCAAGACTTATAGTCTAGATTCCCAGAATCATGGTACGCTATTCAAGTTTTACTACTCATACACTTGTTAGGATGAACATTGTGAAACAGATTTGTAGGTATGCAACAAAAAGATTCTATATTATCATCTGAAAGCTCAAACGGCAGATCATTCCTCGGGCCGTTACTGGCATTAGAAGAACTTAGCAAAACTAGAATTGTTGCCAAGACTTATAGTCTAGAGCCCATATCTACTCGCTTGTTAGGATGGACCCTGCAAATCCGATTTTGAGATATGCCACAGAACTGCTTTTAGGTCCCCAAGTGGGAAGGTCCCGAAAACGATTGGATGTGCTGGTCTCAATTGTTGGGGCTAAGGAAACGGTTGTGGTTTAACTTTTTCGTGAGGTGGGACTTGTGGACTAGGATTGAAAATAGTGATGTACTATATTAGTCACTTGGATGGTAGGGGTGAATATTGGTTAATCGGGATGGAGTTGCATAATGATGATTTGATCAAGTCAAGATTGAATAATCGAGATGATTTAGACAAGCGCTATATAATTGTTTATTGTCTGGAAGTAAGTTGAATAGTGGGAACTGATCAACCTGACGGATTTGGTGAATGAGTACTGTAGGTATGAAGATGACACCTTGAGAATGGGAAATAAAGATTTATGGCCGGGACAAATTACACATCCTTGCATACTTCTACATACTATGGAAGAGACTTGTCAGGATGAGCCTTGTAGAATGATATTTTAGATGTACAATATAAAGAAATAGATAAAGGTTTCCGAGTAAGGATCTTTCAAATAATTTGGATTGCTAATTAATCATATAAGTGTTAGAGCTAAAGAAAAACGGCGTTGTTGTGAACTTTTATTAGAGCAAATATATTTCTAAAGAGTAGCAATAATGTGGAATTGCCAGGATGAGCCTTGTAATATGAAGATGTGCAACACAAATGATATGAATCAGTTTCCAAGGCTCTAAATGGAGGGATTCTGCAAGTGCGATACTGAATCAGGCTACTAAAGCTCAAAAGGGAAGGATGGCGGATTAAACTTTCTATCTAACTTCATGGTTTAGATCTTAGGAAACGACTACTACTACACTTGGGATGAGCCCTGTGAGATGAAAATGTAGATGTGCAAAATAACTCTTTCCAAAAGGGTTTCAGTGTAGCGAGGTTTATGTTCTAACCGGATTAGGTTATATATGTACTGGAGATTGAGGCTTAGTGCCTATCAGGGTCTAGTAGTTTAATGGTAGAATACAGAAAAATGGGAAGAGCTAACAATATTTGCACTATACTATCACGGACGGAACCTTACCCTTAAGAACAAGATCTTCGATTCTAAACCATCATATATACCTCAATCCAGCTTAGTTATGCACCCCTGCTTCAAGCAATATACTTTAATGATTCCACTGGATTTTCGATAAGTGCTTCAAGTAAGCCTATCAGTGTTGATTGCTGAAATCAAGAGTGTGCTTCTGGATCAGATCTTTCAGAAATCAGGACTAACTGAACGTAGAAGCCTAGACCACATTTCCATTCAATTTTCTCCGATTAACTTACGATTTACTGGATGGAGACAAGGTTATCGTGTTGATGTAAAAAACTCGGTAACGCTATGCAGGGGTATAAGGTTATTTTGGCAGGCCTAAGTTCTAGGTTTCTATTGGTGAAATTCTCCACTTTATTCACGACTATACTCTTTCAGTCTGTGATATACAGTATTTGATCCAGTTCTCCCTACATGAAGACACAAGACCCTTGTATAGTAATGACGATAGCATTACCAAATCTTGCAAGGGCACACAGTATTTGCATCTTGGGACTCGGATACTTTCATCATAGAACATCTGTGGAACTACAATATTGTAGCTACCGATTGCTTAGCTCATTCTACATACCTCCTTTTGCTCAAAACCTATCTAATTTCATGTTTCCATTGCCACTTTCGACTTTCCGAATAATTCAGGAATTTCACAGATAACCGCAATATTACATCTACTACTCCGAGAATTGATAGGATCATGCTTGTAATATGGGATTTTTCGATGCTGAGACACGGCCATTCGACTATTTATATGTTTTTGTGATGATGCCTGTAAGATATATGGCAGAACAAATATTTGAGGTCGCTGAATAGTTTGGGTATTAAATGACGAGAAGTGAAGGAGAGAGATGCTGACTCAAACAACCGGACTTAGAACTTCCGAGGGACACTCTAGATTTCCCACTTGAAGTCATTGTTGGACTTGTATGGGAGGGGTACTGTATCTACTAAATCCCTGTTGTTTAAAAAGTGGATGTGCAATATTGCACCGTTAAAGTTTTAAAGTGGGAGAAGCTAGTCATAACTACTAGAACTAAGAGAACGGTCCGCTCTAGACCATCTATCAACACCCATGAACTTCTAGAAAGTCATCTACTAATAACTCATACACTGTCAGGATGAACCCTACAATTCAACAATGAAGATATTCAACATATCGATTGTGACTCGTGAGGGCTCTGGGTGGATGTACTAAAACGATAAGAAACTCTAATACTAGCTAACAGAGCTAACAAAGAATGGCTTCGGATTAGACCTTCTTCGGATTAGATCTTTTACGAGTCGGTATTGGCATACTACTCTTGGCACTACTCATGCACTTGTCAGAATCAACCTGGTAATTTGAACTTACAGATTTGCAACAAAACTCTTTCAAGGGCTTTAAATGGAAGATGATGAGCAGTGGTAATTATAATTGCCGGAGCTAGGGAAAACCAACATTCTTCCCGGTTAGTCTTAGATACAGCTACAGCGATAGAACTTGGAAGGATGAGGCCTGTAAATTGAATTTTTAGTTATGAAGTTTGTGAGGAATCTAGCTGGGGTTTGGGAATCGTAGTGGTGATTTTAGGCTATGGACAGCAGGGTTCTACAGAGTGGTGTTTCCTACAGACATAATGGAAGAATCGGTGATAGGACTTAATTACTTGAAGAGGCTTTGATCCGTGAATGTGGTAAGTCATGAGTTTAGGGGATGAAAAGTTGAAAACACTTCAGATTCTGTGTTTATATCCAGAGAAGTGTTTTTTAATCAGTCCCTACATATTTCCGGGGTTTTTAAACTACAGAACTGCTCACTTACGGGTATATTACCCATAGCCAAATACCTGCAAGATGATCTGTCATTCAAATCACCCTTCAAATTATTGTTCTAATGATTTTCTTTGGAGTTATGAATACCTTTCAATTACTTAAGAGTAGAACTTGTCAAGAGACTCCTTCGTTAAATTATTATTTATTATGTGTGATATCCAAGCAAAATTTCGAGTTCGTGAAACAAAAACAAAGAAGAGAGTCCGTTTTTGGTATTGACAAACAAATTCCTAGTCTAGATCCTTTGAAGATTAGAGAAAGAAATATGAGTCTTTGATATTGATACTCGTTCCTTCTAATTCATATGTAGGTATTCTTGAGCCTCAGCATTGCTTTAGCCAACAAACCTCGCGAATAAAAATCAGAACAACACGCGGAGATTCGAAATTGTCTTCCCGAATATACCCCAAAAATCTTTTCAAGGAAAACAGAATCCACCACCTTCTATCCCTCAGCATGGCTAGTCAATATACTGGCCAGAGATATCCAGCTATCTATCTTACTAGACCCCAAAACAGTACCCCCGCAGAAGTCCGACGATACCTAATGAGCTTCCTTGTTCAAAACCACGGACGAACTGTTGAGGAAGCGAGGACTTTTGCCTCTCTCTGGGTTTATGGCCGTGGATCGGATTTTTATCAGTATGATCTAGAAACGTTCAAAGATATATTTGGGGATGAGGCGGGAATGTTGTTTTATTTGTATTCAAGGAGCCTTACACTGGGCGGGGAAATAAAGTCTCTCTGGGAGCGTAAGTATCCTATTTTCCACGAAATTAAAAGGGGGTCTGATGGATGGTGGTGATGAAACACTTGCTAATATGTTGGGATTATGGGTTGTAGGGTTTTGGAAAACTTGCTCTGTTCAATGAGACGTGGCTCTGGGAAATTCAATTCAAGCTTACTGTCAATTGGTTGATTCTTTAGCCGGGCTTGAGCTGCTGTGTATGGTTATATTAACTTAAGGGATATATGGATCCTACAGGCACCTCAGGAGGGTAATTAACCCACCAGTGGATTATTATTGTACTAAACCACATATCGAAGTGCAATGAGATATACTGAAATATTGTATTGAGATCTGAAATTATGATTTAAACCTAATATGAATTAGTTCAATATAGTTTCATTTTTTTCATTCTAAATCTTTTATATTCCTTTACAACTTTTCATACAAATCAATTTGAATACTTTCAATATTTCAATATTCAATAAGTCTGAATGGTTTCAATTGTTTATATATATAAAGAGTTAACGACGACGAAAGAGGAAAGGGCTAGGGAGGCCAGGGAGGCTAGGGAAGGGAGGGGGTAGCAATTGAGAGACCCGGGAGAGGCTGATCAACGATATCGGAGGCCTTTTTAGTTTCAAATCTCAATACACATGCTGAAAAGGACGCTTGTCAAAAATGGCTGATTTACCCTCCTCAGGTGCCCGTAGGGGGATTTGAGGATTGAGAATGGTCAAAAGGACAGCTATTTTGATGCCGAGCCAACTCAAATAGAGTTTGGATGTCTTGATTCTGATAATATACTTATTGTTTTATTGTCGCTAGATGCTTAACCCTTAGGAACAGGCCGGAAAGCATAAATTCAGAGAAGCGATGAGCCTCCAGCTTGGTCCACAGTGGAAGGTGTTTGTTTATTGAAAGTATTCAGTGATATTCAAATTGTATTACTTATTTTTTCAATTATAAAGGGATTAGAACAAACTCTCACACCAAATGTAACTTGTAACAGAGAATCAGTCAAGCTATTATCATGGTTAAGATACTGATTGGTTAATCAGATCGGGAAAATAAATCACCTGTATCCGGATTTATGCCGAAGCAAAGAGATGGATGACTAAGATACATCTGGCTTATCTTCGGCTTTAGATCTGTACTCTAAAATAACTTCACCCCCTTCACCAAAACCAAGAGATATCTTCACCAACCCCCTGTTCTCAGATAAAAGAACCTCTTCTTCAGCATTCACATATTTGTAGATACTGGATCATCTCAAAGTAACATACCAACCATCCTTTCAATCTGCTGTCCGCTAAGTCATCTTTCTCAAGAAGAAGAGGCATTCTCCTGCGAAACTCGCGATTGTGAGATCATATACAACTCGGTCTTCGATGTGATATGCAGTGGCTAGACGGATGAAGCATAGATACACGTTCTCAAAAGTATAAGGGATATGAATGGTACAGGGAGATCACTGGGTTGTAGGAAAAATGTCGACATCTTTAGCTCGGAGATGCTAGTTTGAGAGAAGGTAGAACATGTGCAGAAAACTCAAGTGAGGAACAGCTTTATTTATAAAACCTGAATAGTGCAGACATATATATTTAGTCGTATCGTACTTTGACTTCCGACTTTCACGATCAGTGCTGGTTTCAGCAGTTGCTTCGAACATTTGCAGTGCTTGCTCAATCTTCACTAGAGATCTCGTCGGCATGGGCGGGGTAAAGGATGGGGACTGAAGCAAGGTAACTATAAACTTTCGATAGTCTCCTCAATAGGTCATCAAGCCTGAGGATAGATCATGAGAGCACTTGATCGAAGATAAGAAGCTGGAAGATGGGATTGGAACCATCGATATGGGTGTAATTATCTATATCTATATGCAAACCGTCAGACTTCTGAGTAGAGATTGCGACAAGCCCTTGATGTTTATTCTAACTATGTCTGGTTTGCAAGTCCTGCTTGTGTTTCGTCTTACATGCGTATATTCTATCGATGATTTGCATTCTCTTCTTGTTCTGCCTCTTAGTTTTATGACCCCGGTGATGTATATTTTGGCTTCGTATTCGCATTGCGTTCCGTCTGTTATAAAACACTTGGGAGTAAACATACAAATGCCGGCAGGTAATACTGCTTGCATCCGCTTCTTATCGTCGAAGAAATGCATGTTCTATCCTAAAGCTTCTCTGCCATCTCGCTATCTTTGTGCGATCTTTCGAAGCTATTCTGCGGCTTGACGACCCGCAGGCCGGCTACACGTAATAGCGCGACTTTCTGCGTTGTGGGGACGATACTTCGAACTGGCGACTGTTTCACCGTTGGAGGAAGGCTTCGACGTAGTTTAACAGTAGATGTAAGATGTGACACGTCATGTACTGTTTCTTTGATAAGCTTAAGCTCTAGCTATGAATATTTAGTGAGTATTGTGAAGTAGCCCTGGCTTTTGTTTCTGCGAAGACACTGTTGGAATAACGTGCATCAATCCCACTCTTGTACGCGGAGCCGTATACGGAATGCCCATTCCGGGCATTCCGTAAAGCTGGGTAGGATTCCCCTATAGTTAGCACCTCCCACTTCGTACAAGATGGAAGGTTAGATAGAATGAATTACCTTTTATACCATATACGTTTTTAGTGTATACACCTTTGAAGTCTGTCCAACAGACACCTTTATTAGTTGTCTGTGATGAATAGAGCGCAATTGGAAAGAAACATCATAAGCTTACGCGCCGTGCTGAATAACTTTAGTTGATTGTTGTCGCATGGCTCCCTTCTTTCTTGTGCGGCAGATGAAAATGTAGCATAGTTTTGGTGCGAGTACTCGTTGGTAATAGAATTGCATCTTAGTACAGTATGATAAACTTGCTTGAAAGTATATCAATTTCAGCAGTCACATTCGGTAAGGGATAAGCTCACGCCGCCTTATTGCTCAAAATACGCCGGCATGTGCACACTCCGTATGAAAGGGTATGTTTCTAAAATAAGCATCTGCGAATAGCCTCACTTTGGCCGGACAGGGCCCATAATATATAAGGCTCCTGTCCCTCTTGAACCATTTCTTTTCTCTTCATAGCCATTCTAAGATCTTAGCAAAAAATTATTATCAAATGCATATTTCCATATCGTTCCCGTGTTAATAAAATACCATTAATCACTACCTACCCAGCAAAAGTTACTATTCTTACAAATCCCACTATTACCTTCCCCATCCCCCTTCCCCTCTCTCTATAGTAATTCCCGTACCTTTCTACCCTGTCCTCCTTATGTGCTTTTTGTACTTTCCTTGGAGCTTTATATCACCAAATGGTCCCCTTGAACAACATAATCGAATGTATGATTAAGATATCCAATGAGAAGCACGCCCATTTATTTATACAGAGTATGCGTACACCAACATATATTTTTAAATATAGGGAGCACGCATTAATTCCTTACCGTTCGTTGCATTCCCTTCAATAAAAACCTTCTTTCCTAAAGGGCCCACTCATCCAAAAAGTTAAACCTACCTACCTACCATATTTTACCCACCTACTCATAAGCGACCCAACCTACCTTTATAAACCAAATATTCGTTACATCCAACATCTCTCATTAGTAAAGACTGCGCCTCTGTCGCAGTGGTTATAGTACACCACTTTCCCCCGATAACCAACCCGTGGGGGGTGAGAGATGTAACAGAAAAAACCCCATCACCGGATGGGGTTTCCTGTCGCCGGTCCGCGGCGATAAGGTTTTGCCTGTTCGCTCTTTGCTTTTTGGTATCTTTTTTATTTATTTTCGAGGATATACTTTTGCCGACAAGAATGCGTGTCAATAGAGTGGATCGCGTTAACGAGATCGCATTGTCAACCACTATAACTCGATTACATAACGCCAGTGAGATGATTGGTTATTCACTTGCTTTTTGAGAAAGTAAATTGATACAAGGCTACGAGTATCTTGCATTCATTTTTTTAATTTTGCGACCATTGTGTCGTTGCGAGAAAGGTGTGCTGAGCCATGGTTTCAAACTCAGTGTGCCTCGATTACAATCATTTTCCACACCACCACCACTTACTAGTCCTCAGCAACGGGGGTTCGGGGATGTCCTTGAGAAAGTAAGTCTGGAGGGAAGCTCACAGCGCACATAAGCATTCAAAGTTGTTGAGATCAAAAGATATATGCAACGTTATGAACAATCCATGCATCTGGCGGTACAATTTGTATAACGCGAACCTACCCAACCTTATCTCAAAATGGTGCATCAGATCTATATACTGAGTAGAGTCGTCCCCGTATCGACTGATACCATCAGTATCCTAGATCGCGACTACCCTCTTGAAGTAAGAATTTATTATACCGTGTGAGCAGAACTATCCGCTCCATTCTTTGCAAGAATCGAGGCACTAGAAATAAGTCTATACCACAATACTCTTCGCCAAGAAGATCATCAGTAAATGCTCTATACCCAATTATCATTAGCAGATACAATAACGACGATAACAATAAAATATGAATGTTTGGTATTCGGTCTTTGTCTTTGGGAGCTCTTAAATCTTATATTCTTTTGTATTCATCTATTTTAAAATTCAATATCACCATTATTGTTATCTTATGCAATGCTTCGTTGATGCTTCTTGATCTCCTGTGATTGACTGTTCCACATCCTGCCTTCTTAACGTACATATCATGAGAACCTAGATCCTTCCACTGCTTGTTATGGTAGATAGCTTGCCGAAAGCGTTTCTCGTATTCGATTTCAATTATCTCATGAAGCAAAGGTGGTAGCACACCTTCTAATACAAAACAAGCCAGTTCTTCTGCTGCTACTGCTGCTGCTATTGCTACAGGGCTTGTATGTACGCACGCTTATATACTGCACTCACAATGTTCTCAATGAAAATAGGACGAGTATCTTCACAAAAGTCTACGTAATATGAAGCACAGCTACAGCTACATGTACAGTCATAGATAACAGAACACATTTTCTTGCTATCGAGTTTTTTTATGTGTGCACGTGTATATGTGTTTGTAGTGACATTATACACGTGATGACGGGTGGTTCGCTTCGCTACCTGGAAGAAGCTGCACTGCCTCGTCGCCTTCTCCATCACATATAAATATGACCTCAAGATCCCCCAAGATTTCTGAATTTCAACATTCAAACCACTTTCAATCATTTCACATCCCTTACTTCCTTCCTACCTTCCTACCTTCATCATGTCTGGTGGAGTCTTTTCCGAAACACTTCAATCAATTACCACCACGAAGCTCGCTGAGCTCTCCAAAAAGCGCCATCATTTCGAAACCCAAAAGGAAGCTCTGTCTATCAAACTAAACCATGAACTTGATCAACGAAAGAAGCTTCAATTGCTGCTCAATGGTGTGAAGCAAAGTTTTGCAATTCAGACATCAGTCACGAAGAAACGCACTCTCGACAATGGCACTAAATTGTCTCCCGTTGAACTTCTTGTCAAGAACCTCGAAAAGTTTATCGCGCAAGCTGAATATGATCCCTCCATCTCTGACAAAGCTCTTGAGCAATGGGAAAAATATCTCCTGCGACACATGAATGTTCAATCATCAAAGTATCAATATGCAGCTTTGTATGGCGAACTTGTTACAGAATGGCTTTCGACAGAGGAGAGGCAGAAAGCTGTTGATGCCGCTGATGATACTTCACGAACCGATGAAGATTTCCAAAAGATCAAGAAAGAAAGCCTTGCAAGGACCGAGGGTCGAGCAAACTGGGAGAATCTGGTCTTTGAGCCTTTTGAAACCGATCAGGATGCGATTACGACATACTTGACTAGCCTGTTTGGAATCGACAAGAATGACAGACAAGCCACAAAAGCCTTGAATGATTTACGTCAACAAGTTGAGGCATTCGGAAACGACTTATCGGCCACAGGGCAATTCAATCCTGCCGTTCTGCGTTGGACTATCAATGGACTCATATCCTCTGATCTCCTGTCGGAGGAAAAGCGTGCGGCCTTGAAAGATTTCCTCGCCAGCCCAGTCATCCTTACAGAAGTGGCAGATGTTCTCAACATGCGTCTTGCATCGATAGATATCTGGGAATGGAATAGTGATCTTGCTGTCGAGCAACGACGACACCTCAACGGCACATATCATATGTTTATCGACGAGGATCTTCTCGAAGCACTCTTCCTTCAATATATCGGTGTAAAATGGTCAGTGTTCTTCAAGAAAGCTTTTACGGAATTTTCGGATTATGATGGGGCATGGAAGTCATTGAATAAACCCATTCCTCACACCGACAAGGAAAGAAGAGATTACTATTTAGGACTAGACTACCACCAGGAAAGTATTCAGAAAAAGCGTGAAGATCTGTACAAGTCGATCTACTTCATGTCTCAGCTTCCCGACACGGAATACGATGACCAAGCTGATGAGGATGGAGACGAAGAAGCGGAGTATAGGCATTACACGCCACCGCAGCAGCGAAAACCCGCGCAGAGTCTTGGGCATAGAACCCGTCCACAACTGACGCAGCCAGCGATGCGGATGGGGGTCGTGCAGCAGCAGTCGATCTTGCAGAGTCATGGTCGACGGATGGTAGCGCAACAACCCCCGAAGAAAAAGAAGAGGGTAGGCTCACATAGCCTTGAGGACTTCAATTTTGATACCTTTCTTAACGAAGATTCTGAGGATTCCGAGGAATTACCGAGAACCCCTATGGAGATCAAACAGTTCTTACTTCATTTGCTCTCGGCTGAGATCATCGTAAATACAAAGCTCCACGGCGAATTTACTTGTGCTCGCTCCGAATTCGAGTCCTTCAGCCCATCATTACCACACTCTACAATATTCTGTGTCTTGTCTTTCTTCGGCCTATCAGAAAAGTGGTTAAGATTCTTCCGAAAGTTCCTCGAAGCGCCGCTGAAGTTTACCGATGATGATGTATCAACAGAAGTCCGCATTCGAAAACGTGGAGTCCCTGGTGCCCATGCGCTATCTGCTGTTTGCGGAGAAACTATTCTTTTCTGTCTTGATTATACTGTTAATCAAAGCACAGATGGAGCTCAACTTTACAGAATGCATGATGACTTTTGGATCTGGTCACATTCGCACGAAACTGTTGTCAAAGGATGGAAATCCATTCTCGATTTCTCTAAAATCATGGGCGTTACGTTAAACCAAGGTAAAACAGGTTCCGTATGCATCACCTCGAATGGATCTAGCCGCCTCATGGACCCCTCGCTCCCTACTGGAGATATTCGCTGGGGATTCCTCAAACTCGATCCCATCACCGGTCACTTCACCATCGATCAATCGATGGTTGATCAACACGTCTCAGAACTTCAATCCCAACTTCACGATAAGAATAGTGTCTTTTCATGGATTCAAGCATGGAATACCTATGCTGGTCGCTTCTTCACCTCCAATTTTGGAAAACCATCGAATGCTTTCGGTCGTGCACATGTTGATGCTATGTTATCCAGTTTCCGCCATATCCAAAAACTTATTTTCACAAACACAAATGTGGTTTCGTATCTGAAAGATACATTGAGGGAGCGATTTGGGATTGACGATGTACCTGATGGTTACCTCTATTTCCCAACCAGCCTTGGAGGTCTTGAATTACACAATCCTTTTATCGGACTCCTGCAATTACGGGATGGGGTATACGAGAAACCAGAAAAATTGATGGATGATTTCTTCGAGGCAGAAAAGGATGTGTATAGGAAGGCCAAAACCGCTTTCGAAGGTCGACCTCTTCAACAACGAATATCAACGGCTCCTAAAGTACACGAGCATCTTGCATCTGCACCATCTTCTGATCCGCATATCTTCATGCCGTTTGAAGAATTCACTCGATATAGAGAAGAAGCAAATGGCAATGAGGGAAAAACTCTCTGGGATGTTTTGGATGATCTACTTACAAACCCGGACAAAGAAACGGCGGATTGGGATGAGTGGGATTTGGTGGCGGCGAAGAGAATAGAGGGTGGTCCTGCAGTGGCGTTTGAGGGAATGGATATGGGTTATTGGAAATGGGTGATTAAGCTTCATGGGGAAAAAATGAGAGAGAGGTTTGGTGGGTTGGCTGTGGTGGATAAGGGGATGTTGCCTACTGGGATGGTTAATTTGGTTAGAAGTGGGAAGGTCAAATGGCAGGGTTAGTTTGGGGAGTTAATGAAGGATGATGAAGGGAAATAATTTCTTTGGTATTTCTCGGGGTATTTTGGTGCTAGGTTCGATTTCGCGAATGGATGGACTTGGGGGAATTATAATATGGACAAGACTTAAGGATGGATACGTTAGCTATTACGCCTGACCATAAATCGGACACTGTAACCGCTGGTCAGACGTTGGGTTTCTTTTGAAGTCCTACAACAATGGGTCTCGAGATCTAATCAATGGACAATCAAATATACATCGAATAAATACTATATCTTCTACAGTAATTCGGTTAAAGTATGATTTATAGGCTGATGCTCGTGGATTGCATTTCGACTACCGGTACTCATTATATAGAAGAGTGTAGCGTATAGTATATTGAATCTTACAGGGAACGGGTCCAGATCAATGCCATTTCAATCCTTGGTACGGAGTGAGTTCTCATGTGGAGCGTTGCATCACACTATCTTACTGACTTCATTAACAATTTCAGTATTGTCAAGAACCTTGAAGTTATATGAGTACGGGTATTAAAGCCCCTGATGGTGCTCGGGTCACAGCCCTCGCCAAGTATGCTTCATTATTCCTAGAACCTTCTATGGCTCTTTCCCTCTATTATATATGAAGGGGGAGTTTGAAGTATGTACATACTAATTAGGTAGTCTTCATGCACTTCTTACTTGTTATTCCTAAACCATATCTTTGAGTGATTCGAGGTCTGGCCTCTCACAAATTATAGTATTTGAAGATTTCATCCGTCTGTAGCGATATGTATACCACTATATATATACCAGCCAACACCTAAACCTTCCCTGTGCTATATACCATAGCTGTGCTCGTCAATGTTTCCTCCTCTTCCTCTTCCTCAACTTGAACAACATCCGATGCAATATTCTCAAAATCAAGATACGGCATTTCATACAGAAAAAGACCCACATAACTGGCACAAAGAGACACCAGCCAACCGTTCCTTTTCACAACAGTGATCCCCTATTGTACTAACATGGTACCTCTCCCCCTTGCAATTGGAATCGGGGTGAACTACCAGAGAAGATAAATTGACTTGTTTCTCAGCCCATTCTGCAAAATAGGTTTCAAAACGTTGCACGGATTTTCCAAAAGACGCTTTACATCGTTTTTGGTCTGCGTCTCTTTTGGGCCGCATCTTTTTATTCCTTCTCAGCTGGATCTAGAAATAAACGGATTAGTAAAGTATATACATATAGTATCAGAGAGACTTTAATATACTCGTATACTCGAGTATACCCATTAGTTTGGCTTCCATCCAGACCACAATGTTCCACACAGCATGACCAACAGGTTTAACAATCCTATCAAATCGACTTTTCTCCAAGCTTCAAGCTTCAAGCACATATTTAAACCATATATTTATTTCTGCGGTTGTTCCAAAATACTTCTCATATTCCTTTTCTTATCCATTTCAGATGATCTTCTAGATACAGGTGTTGAAAAGGATAACAATAATAAACTTGAGGTTTTTCCGTATACCCTTCGATATGAATTCGAGTAATTCCATCTAAATAAATCATTCGGGGTAGCCACTGGCATTCGAAGGAGTAAAACTGGTAAAGCTAGTAAAGTAAAACCTCCTGAAAGATCGGGTCGACCTCCAATCTTTGGAGTATTTATCAGGTTTCACAGATGGGGATGGAACGAGAGAGATAAATAAGGTAATGATATAGTATTTTCGGGGTGCGAATTCATGCAAATCTAAACATACCCGCGAGCACTTGCACTTACACAACTGATGCAAGCCTGCAACTCACCGATTGCTTTATCAGGCCTAGCTAGCGTAAGTGCAATTAATGATACTAGGTAAATAGGAGACAGTGTAAGGTATAGAATTGATTTGTACGCAATTCTCGTCGAGAGTAATCATACTGTATCAGCTCTCGTAATTTTCGCGAGTAGTTATAAACTCCTATGAGCTTCCATATACCTAGTATACTAAATGAATGGTCTTTAAACTTCGAAGATACAGTACCGTCTTACCTCAACTAACTGAGATTAGGTCCAACTGTATGTGATCTAGCTATCGATCAAAACAAAAGCCGAATAGACTATATAATTAGAAGACTCTATCTATATATTAGCAATTTTAAGCGAACAAAACTAAACTATACTCGAGTACATCTCCTTCACCAATTAATAGCCGGAGATATCGGCATATCGGCATATTACATAATCCAAACAAAGAAGTGACTACCGAATTATTTAATGTACAGTTGTTGGTGTTGAAACTTGCTAAATAACCAATTAATCTAATCTAATCTTACATTCCATTCCATTGCAGCCTTAGAAGATAAAAGGTCTCTGCAATCGATCCATTGACTCCATTCCATTCTCAACCCTTATTTAACTTTCAAAACTTCAACCGAATGCAGCATCAAACAAGTCTGTTTGTCTCACGAGTCTCACCAATCAACCCCCGCACTTCGGATTTATTGTTGACCGACAGACACCGAGATCTTAACCTTAACATCATAGCGGTGGGAGCGAGCCAATGAGAGGAGAATATTCGGTTTGAGGTTATAAAGTTCCATTTTATCTACTGGTATACCTCATTTATTCATATATATATAACCTCCCTGATATAAATCGCACTCTTAGTCACCACTTCCCATCCACATATACACATTCAACCACCAAACCCAAACACCAAACCCAAGCCCAAGCACCACACCACTACACCACACCACACCACATCACCATCACCATCACCATCACCATCCCCATCAAAATGAGCAACCCAATCCCAACCCCCATCGTCCCCCAACCAAACGTCCCAATCTACCATCTCAAAGCGGAAGCTGGCGAGGTGATAACGCTCGGAAGTGTTAAATTGAGGGTTATGGAGGATGGAAGTCGGACTGGTATGTATATACAGTATTTTCCTTCTTCTCTATCATTATTTTCCCTCCCGTTCCCTCCCCTACTTCTTTCCCCCATATTTCCCACCCGGCCTAACTCACATTCTTATCCTCCCATTTCCCATCCAACCGTATCCTCTCATTTCACATCCCCCCAGATCCACACCACGTCCTAACAATCGTGCATCCCCCCTCCCCCCACACCTCATACCGATATCCAAACACCAATACTAACAAAAATTAAACTGAAATAGATAACCGTATCTCAACAGTAGAAGGGATTGTCCCAGCGCATATGAAGGGGCCACCGGCTCATTGGCATGAGATGCATGATGAGACATTTTTGGTCACGAAAGGAGGTTTGTTTTTGCTTTTTTATATCTCCCTTTATTTTCATCACCTTTACCCATTTTTATTTGCCTATCATTGTCACACTTTATTAATCCGCTATCTTTACTTACCCCATTTGATTTACCCCCCATCCTCACACCCCTTAAATTATTTACCCCCTCCCTCTTCTCCTCCAAACTTCTCTCCTTCTACCCACCCATTTCCTTATCCTCCTCCCCAAACCTCTCCTCCCCAAACCTCTTACCCCCCCCGCAACCCCCAAACTCCCACCTAACAAATCCCTAGTCCTAACCTTCTGGGTCCCCGCCAACCCCTCCACCCACGAACCCGCCATTCGCATCGACGCCGCAGCCGGCGACTACATCGTCGTTCCTACTCGTGCTCCTCACACATTCAGTAATGAAACTGATCAGGAAGCACGATTTTTCAATACTTTTACGCCTGTATGTATTTTGTTTTTCTTTTCCTGTAGCTTTTTTCTTGAAGTTGTTTTCTTGGAGGGAGATATAATATGCATGCATGCATATTGGACTAAAAGGAGAAAGAAGACCAACTTGGGAAATTGTTGAAATTGGGAAAGCAAAGAATGAGATGGGTTGGAATGGGATGAATAAACATAACTGACAAAACTCAAAAAGGCATTCTATATACACTACTTCAAACTTCTAGCATCGCTAATGGAGGAAGGGAAGGAGATGACGCCAGAGGTTAATGCGGCGGCGATGGCGTATTATGCTACGATTCCTGTGGGGAAGAGTAAGTAAGATTGGGATCGAATGGGATGGGTTGGGGTAGAAGGTTTTAAGTTCGAATTGTTAATTTGTTAATTTGTGGAATTGTGAGGTATTGGATGATAGGGGTTGTGAAGTTGGAAGTTGGAAGTTGGGGATTAAGAGGGGGATTGAGGGATGTGATGTGAGGGGTTGAGAGAGGTTAAGAAAAAGTATGGTACTGTAGTTCTCATACTAATTAACCACTGTTCTTTCTTTTCTTCCATCACCAAAAAAATGTATCTATCAAATAATGCAAGGAAAGGAGTCTTATCTCTTTCATCAACTTTCATATACTCGTAGTGCTTTCGTACTCTGACAAGTACCCGCTAATATATAATTGAATGTATTAAAAATCAATCGTATATCCAGATACAATTCAATTTACTCGAATACTACCTACCTATAGAATACTCGTAGATATCCATTGCTTATACTCGTATACCATCTCACTCACTCACAAACGTTGCACTCAAGTATATATATATACTAATAATACTAATACCTTTTTTTTCTCTTTTTTTTCCTTTTTTTCTTTTTTTTCTTTTTTCTTTTTTATCACAACTTCATTTCTATATCAACTCTATCAACTCTATTATTCTCTATCTATACTCCTCTATCTATACTCTTTAAATCAAGAAAGAAAGAAAGAAAGAAATATAATATAAATACTAGTACTCGAGTACAATAAGTAATCTTCTCGGAATTCTAATATTCTAATATTCTAATACTCTACTCGAGTATAAGACTTCTTTCTGTTAAGCGATGATACTGAGTAGAGTTTATTTTTGGTATTACTGTAGTTTGAGCTGGCTGGTTGGTTGACTGGTTGACTGTATGAATGGGTGGTGAATAAGCAAGGGGATGAGGATGCTAGTATGAGAATGGGAGGATGAGCGTTAGGGTGTGGTATGGGTTGGGTGTGCACTATCTCAGAGGATATTCGCTAATTTAGCGTTCGAAATTGTAAATGGTAGATGTCAAGTGGCAAACAGCAAATGAAAATTGATACAATGACAAATTAAAGAGAGGAATTTCATTGTATCAACCTATCACCATATCCGAGCCATATCATCCATTTCATTCCATTCATAGCACCCATACCAGCCATATCATATCCGAAGCAAAATCCATCAATCCATCAATATCACGCAAGTAAATACCATCCATGAACCATCCATAACCACGCAAAGCAAACCATCCATGCTCTAGTTAAACAACAAGTGTAGTTTATGAGTAGGCACAAGAAAGAGTTCTGGGTCTCAATTAGAAGCAATGGTAGTAAAAACTACAATTCTTCTCCTTCTTTACCAGCCTTCTTGCTCTTCTTCTTGGGTTGTGGTGCTCCTTCTTTCTTGCAGTGTACAATGAGACGAGTCCATGATTCATCTTTATCCCATTCGAAGCCGGCGAGGACGGGTTCTCCGAGTTCATCATCGGCCTGATGTTATGGATGTGTTAGTTGGATGTGTTTGAGATGGTGGAGGATGATTATGATAAGTTATATTTGACAAGGTGGCAGAGGAGAATGACAAGTTGTATTTGACAAGTGGCAGAGAAGAATGACAAGTTATGTTTGACAAGTGGTGGAAGAAGATCATAAGATGCTGGTGGAGAATTCAAGGGACAGGAAATGGGAAATAACACACCTTCTTTCGGTATTGCTTATAGATAGCATCTAATGCATCCTTGATAGTAACACCCTTCATATTTCTTGCTGTGACCTCCAATCCCAGAGGAAAATGTAAGTCAATCTTCTTGACTGGTGGTGTAGTGAGAGGTTTCTTGAGGAAGCCCTTTTCCGGGTCATCAAGAGTCATTGGTGATTTGTTTATACGCCTATACAACAAATTCATCATCAGCCATCAATCATGAAGTATATCATTGATATAAAGTTGTGTTTGACCAAGTGGGGTAAGTCTGATACATACCAGTTCAGCTTTTGAGTTTCTTTTGCAATCTCTAGTTCCTTTCCATCTTTCTCTATTGAAATTGTTAGTATCTTTTCATCAATCAAGGCTCAGGAGATATTTTATGACAAGAAGAATAAATACATACCTAAGTCATTAATATTCCATACACCAGGAGCACTGGAACTGGTTCTCCGATGCTTGCTTGTCTTCTCCTCAGTAGGACTACTCGATAATCCTTGAACCGCAGAATCAACCTTGGTTAAAGGTAAAGGATCAGCATCTTGAGCAACAGTTGTCGTATTGATGGGTTGAGTTGCTGTATCGGCAGACATGATTGATTGAGTGGTAGATTGTTTGGTTTACTTGATGTAGTAAAAGAGTAGTAATTACGATATCTCACGATGTTTATCGAGAGACAAAGACAATATAAGTTAAGTTGGTTGAATCAAATAACTAAGAAAGCTATTTGATAGATTGATAATTGAGAGATGATATTTCTTTGATGGATTTAAGTATCAGGAAAGATGAAGTATGTAGATAGAAATTGTACAACAAGGTTATAGTAGAGGTAAGTGAATAACAAAGGAGGAAGGAAAGAGGAGGTCATTCAGATGTTCAAATGAGGGGAAGCTTCAGGTCACGCAACAATTAATTGATTGGTTCCGATTATCCGAATAAAAGAGGTAATAATTTCAGTTTATCTAAGTAAATTAAGCCACACCTTTAAAGTAAAGTATTACACTTTGTACCTCGGAACTCTTCATTTGATTTGATAAAATATTCCTACATTTGCTCACGAGACTTTTCTATCTATCCATTGAATCGTTACATCAAACCATATATCAAATCATAAGTTTGTAGTACAATCATTCATCAATCATCCCATCAATCATTCCATTCCTCTATATCCCATATCCATATCCATATATATATCCATACATATCACAACCCAAACATTATCACCCCATCCCACATGTAGTATCTTCCCCTGAGACACCAACAACTCAAAGAAGATTAGCCCCACAAAACTGTTCCCTTGTTCAGTAAGGTAAGTTTTAGTTGCTGATCCTCCCTTGAATATCTACACTAAAAACTGGGGAAGTGGATCAAATCAAAAATACCCCAGGTTTCGTCATAGGGGGAATGGAACGGGTATCTGCTGATTGCTGATTGCTGTTTTGATATCGTTTCATTAGTTGAATTGAATTCATTTAAAGCCTTGTTAGTTTCAAATGCTTCTGAATGGTAAATACTGAGTAAATAAGTTCTCTCTACATATAAATTGAGGATTTACTTCTACCAATACTTATTTATAACAGCACAATATACCGGCAATTCACAATCTACGAAAAGAAGATATCTACATATACTCATACATTAATTGTGTCAAATCAAATCAAATCAAATCAAATCCATTCAATTCAACTCAATTCAATTAAAGTTTCAGCAACATTAATCAAAAGAGGGGTAGTACAATAATCCAATTGGTCTCTCTCGTGAGGGGTAATGTGGAATCATCCAAGCACCAGGGAGCTTTGGGAAAATCGTCTCATTAGTTCTACTACCGGTAGATAAAACTCAATTGATTTGAGTAAGTAAATTAATGAGCTAGTGAGCCAAAGCGAAAGCCAAAACTAAGATTATTCTCAAAAGAATTTAATTAATCATCGTTGTGCTGTGCTAATTATATGCTAATTCAATGCTAATTCTATGCTAATATGAGCTCAGCCACAACTTACGAGTTCTATAACACAATACGAAATGCTAATGCTAATGCTAATGCTATCTCAATCATCCAATCCAAATGTATTATATCCCATCAAATCACAACTGAATTCCATATATCCAAAAACATACTTATACACGCACACGCACACACACACACACCCATCCACACCCATCCAGACCCATCCACCCAATCACATCCCCAAGAATTCCAAAAATTCCAACAGGTACAAAACACCCCTTTTCCACATACAGTATCACATCACACTACATCACATCACACCAAGTATTTCTCCCAAAATATACCTAGCCCTTAGCCCCTCTAGTTCCCATATATCCCTTCCATCATGCTCCTCCTCCCCATCAACCATCAATCATCAACCATCAGCGCATCGACTATTAAACTCAACCTCAATCCCGATTAATTTCTATTTACATTTCAATTACCATCAACACCAATCTTATCTAATCCACTCCAATAATAAATTCTACCTTTCATCTAGGTATTCCATCTATCTTCCATCTCCCACATTCCATCCCATTCCACTTTATCTCCCACTATTCTCTCCACCCATCTCCCACCATCCTCTTCACCCATCCATTCTATCCTCCACCCATCCATTCTATCCTCCACCCTTCCACCTTCCTCCCATCTTCCTTCCATCCATCTTCCTTCCACCTTCCTCCCCTCCTCACCATTACCATTACCATTTCTATCTCCATCTCCATCTCCACCTCCATCTCCAATCCAAACATCAAATCCTAACCCAACATCAAATCCCAATCTCCATTTCCTTTTCCCCCCCATCTTCATCACTCTCTCCCCCCT